TATATTATTTGGTTCTTCAATAATTTATGCTATTACAGGTTCCTTAAATTTTAATAATATTTTTTTAATATTATCAAATATAAATTTTTTAGAAAATATTAATATTTTAATAAGTTTATCTTATGGATTAATCTTTATTTTAGTTGGTATTTTATTTAAAGTAGGAGCTTCGCCTTTTCATTTTTGGTTACCTGATGTTTATGAAGGTGCTCCTAATAATATTTCTAGTTTTTTTGCTATTGTTCCGAAAATAGCTTTTATTGGTATTTTAATTCGTTTATTTTTTGAAATTTTTTTTAATATTTCATATTTTTTTGAAATTTTTTTTTATATTATTTCATTTTTATCTATGTTAATAGGTGCATTATCCGGAGTAAGAGGTAAATACGGAAGTGAGTAAATTAGTGCTAACCAAAACTGTCTAACATGTCTCTCTAAACCCTATCTCTCTGTTGCTCCTCTTGTTGTCTTCTCGTAAGTGTGGCCAAATCACTAATGCCATGTGCCTTCATCCAATCATAGCGCTCCAATATGTGATTACCCAATGACATTCCAGAAGCGGTTCCAGCCAATAGTGGAACGGATGGGTAACCGTTCTAACGGTCACGCCTAACCGTGCAGAGCCGGTGCCACTGCAGCATAAATAATTTAACATTTCACAAAGGATGCCTACCATGTACGACAAAAAAATACCACAAACGTTGAAAAATAATTACTTAAAGAAATGTAAGAAGCTGAGAGGCATCAATGCCAAAAACGATTCATGCATTCGCCAAACGTTAATTAGCATTTATTGTCACTGGCAAAAGTTTGAAAAATATCCAACATAACAGTACCCAAAGAATAAAGGAAAATATTCAACAATTTATGACTACAATACAAGCCTACAAGAGCCTCTGTCTACAGAAAGCAAAATATATTTTTACTGCATCAATTCCGAATTCGATCGTTTGTAAATCTATCGCTAGCGCTTGCGAAGTATTAATAATAATAAAAACTTCCAAACAAGATACAACTCGATGGGCCGCTAGGGAGAAAAATAACCCCAACAACGAGAGCTTGCGCACTTACTGCAAATATGATGCGTACGCTACCGATGACATTTGTAACGGGCCAATTATCTCGTCCGTCCGTGGGGCGGGTCGTTGCTCCACAGTGCTGCGCTACGGCGTCCGCTTTCACTTAAACTCCGTAACTTTACTAAATAAAAGACACTACTGGCTGACAGGATCCACTTGACCCTGCGCCGGAACGTTCATTACTTGTGCCCGCCCCTACTTTATCAATCAACAATAAGCTGCTTTAGCCACCTGCTAACGCAGCCTACACACTCAACCAGGACTCGACCTTGGACAACGCGCACGCTGGATTCCCCGTCAGTGCACACGCCGCCCTTGTGCTCGCCCCAGCACTCAAGCAGTGCACACTGGATTTCCCGTCAATGCACACCACCACCAACAAGCTCAACGGCGGGCTGGATGACCCGTCAGCACACGCCGCCTCGCCTCAACCAACAAGCTCAGGGACGGGCTGGATTATCCGTCAGCACACGCCGCCTCGCCTCAACTCTTGCGACCTCTCGATCACGCACTGCCCGTTTCAACAGGCCACACACAATTGCTCCGTACCGAGCCGATTCGTTTACTCCCCACCGAGTAGAGCCACTTGCTCTCTTCTGTGCAGATGTACTTGCTCTCTACCGAGCTAATTCTTTTGCTCTTCACTGAGTAGAGCCGCTTGCTCTCATCTGCGCAGATTCGTTTGTGAGCGGCCAAGATCGCCTCTCAACACCTGGCGCACTGGATCCCCTGTGATGCGCAGGCACGCACTGCACTTCATAGCCACGGTCTTCATTTTCACATCCTTCAGCGCCACTCTCAATAACAATAGTCAGGACAATTTAAAAATGAATGCAACACCTATATCAACCATTTCATGAAATTGATATGCAATTCTATACGACCTCAGCAACGAAAAACAAAAACGAAACCGCACATTGTGAAGAAATATCCACATATGAAAGAGCAAAACAATGGCAGTTTAAGAAATGAACAAAACTAAGCGCTTACACAAAATATATAAAGATAAATACGGTGAACAGGTGTATCCTCACAGGTTTCCTGAGTAGCCAACAACAGAGTGAACATGTTTTGATCCTTAAAACTGATGGTTTTGCTGAGGTAGCTTCTACAAATTCGTATAGCTAAAACGATAATAGCAACAATACAGCGAACAGGTTTTGATCCTTAAATTAAAGGTTTTCCTGAAGTAGCTTCTAGAAATTCGTAAGACTAAAACGATAATAATTGCAGTCACTACGGTGGACAGGTTTAATCATCTAAGGTTTTCCTGCGTAGCCAAAGTAACAATGAAAACAGGAAATCAGCACAGTCCCTGCCAAAAACAGCGGCAACAAGATGACAAATAAAAGTCAAAGGAAATAGATCATTAATATCAAAATAAGATCTCCTTTTTGTAAATTTTCATGTGCATACAGGAATGTTATAAACAGCCACCTGTGGTACATTAAATACTATCCGACAGATGGAGCATCATACGCATTCCTTGATGTGGGAGGCTGTTGAAGTAACGTCACACAGCATATATTTATGATGTAAGGCAGGCGTCTCTAACAAGTGTTGGGGGGGATGATTTGCGCAGAGTTGTTAGGGCAGTACAGTATGGAGTGAGGACAAAAGTAGAGTGGTCTAGGCGGTCATAGTGGAGAGGAAGTCTTGAGTGTAGAAGGAGAAGACGCTTGTGTTGTGAAGATGGTAAAAGAAGAAGAGCTTGTGGTGGACTTGGTAAAAGGAGAAGTGATGAATTACAGAGTCTGGTGTTCTGGAGAGGGCCTACTCTCAATCAACCAGTCCAGTTATTTACGATTTCTCTGTATGAAATAGCACAATTATTTTCACTAGATAATCATTATCACATCGGAGAAGCTTATGCCTCCATAATTGGCGTACGGTTTGAAGCCCGAGAAGCGTAGTTCTCAAACATCGATTTGGTTGGAGAATGAAGAGGAAGAAGATAAAGAGAATTGGAAAGAAGCATACATCGATTGACTGATTGACGTACTTGCGAAATGAAATGGGTAGGTGGCTCACTAACTGACTGTTGCGTTCGATATGGGTGAAGAGTGTGCCGATGCTATTTGATGCGATGTGGTGTGACTTTACGAGATGTTGATCTTAGTGAGGCCGTACAGTTTGGCATCGATTTGACGGCTGTTGCGGTAGACGTAGCGTTTGTACGCTGTTTTGTACGGTGTGACCATCACTACATCTCCTGGACGTGGAAGCTTGGGGTCGTCGATGTTCACTTTGAGTAGTGAGACAGAGATGAGGAATTGCTTTGCTTCGAATGGGTTGTCCTGTTGCGCTTGCTTGAAGGCCTGAGACATATACGATGTGAGAGTGCAGCGAGATGTTCGTGTTGGCTATGGTTGATTACCTGTTGTTGCTGCTGCAACGGTTCTGGCGCCTGACATTCGCCAAAGTAGAGTCGTAAAAAGTGTAGACCTCGGACTGTGTCGGAAGACGAGCCTTGATGCGCACGGACGCGCGCACTTCCTTGTCGTTGCCGTCGCTGTGCATGATAAACGCGCGCAGATCGGTTTGACAGTAAGTACTCCATTCGTTAATAATCTGGAATAGTCGTTGTGATGCATGCCAAGCTTTAACTCGGTTAAGTACGTACCGTCGACTGTATCGAAAATCTTTCGGCTGTGCTTCTCGATCGTGCTCTTGCGCTTTTTCAGGGGCGACTGGTAGCTCGTCGTTGGGTGATCGCTCATGGCTAACACTGGATCGTGCTTCATTGTCGGCGTAGACCGAGGCTCGATCATCACGTTTTCCGGTAGTTGCTTGTCGACTGCGTCTTTGTCGCGCTGTTTCTTTGGTGGCATTGCTGTCGGAGGAAGAGAATGCTGGTTCGGGCTGAATGGACTGTGTGCTCTGTGGTCTGTTCATGCGTTTGCTCCTGACATGGACTAGGCGATCGGTGCGGAAAGCATGGAACATCGAAGCAAGATTTTATATGATGCTGTGAGCATCAGTTTTTAAACGTTTGCGACGAGAACAATGTCGTGCGGCATAGCTCAACAATGGTATGCCTGTCCCGCGCGTCGTACCTCACTTGGAGAACCAAATTTATTTCGCACCGTTAGGACTGATCAATGCCCAGTAGCTTTCGAGACTGTCCGAATCGTTGAGGCGAACGTGAGCATGTACAAGTGTAAGTTTGGTCGCTAGCTATCCGAGTTGTGAGCTGTTGTTAGCAGATTCCCAGAGTTACAAGAATCGCTTGTGTTGGTGTCAACAGCTTCATGTGCTGGCCACGATTTATGGTCTTCAGCGCTGAAGAACGGCGAGAGCGACACAGGTTCGCTGTTCAGCGTAGTCGAGCACGTGAGAGCACTGAGCAGAGAGCCGAAAGACTGCGCCGACAGCGTGAGCGACAACAACGTGCCCGTACGGCTATTGGTTGCAAGGATCAATGTCAATCCAATGGGGAACCGCATCAAAGCTGGCTAGACGGTGGTGCTCCGACGCTCCGTCCCGTGACTAAGAGTACGAAAGAAGCGGTATTGCATCGATTAAGATTGAAACGTGGGCTGTCCGGACTCGATGATGCAACATGCGCCGTGTGCGACTGCATGACGTTGCGCAAGTCGATGACCATGGTTTCAGTTGGCGACGATTGCGATCGCATTAAGCAGATGCAAATACTGCTGTCCAGTACCGACGAGCACTGGCCGCCACGTTTAACAGCCGCGTAAGACTGCTCGGGGCTGTTTGCTTGTTTAGGTGGAATGTTGCTGTCAAAACGCGGTGTTCATCCAGCTGGCTACATTCAAGTGTGTGTAGAAAGCAATGCCAGCTTAGCGAAGCAGTTGCTGCCGAAATTTGCTATCAAGACGGGTTTTATGTTAGTTCGCTGCCGAATCATGCTACGCTACCGGAGCGTTTCATGACCCAGACGGTCTCAATCGTTGCTGTGACGCGGGTTATGCGCGGTGGCGCGCATCACGCAATCCGCTCGCACTGTCTCGCATTCGCCACGATGCCGGGCCCCGCCGTGACGCTGTTGCCCACATCCTCCCGCAACATCAGCTGCTACCGAGTCGTGATGGTAGGTCCGTTCACTACCGAGCAACAAGCTCGCATTCGGCAAATGCACCTCGTTCGTCGTCAATTGGTTGAAGATTTACTGGCCTTCTACTGTGCGTACAACGCGCTGTATGAGGACATTGCAATTAATTGCTCAGGTCTAGCGGTTGAAACGGTGGCAGAGCACTTGATTTTCGAGGAGATTGATGTCGACGTTGACGTCAACGATATCGATGCTGAGAGCAATCGTGTGGGCAGCGTCACTGGGATTGGTGGGACCGGTGGAAAGACTGATGTCGTGGAGCATAGCGTGGTGTTTATCACGGACGACCGCGAAGTCATCACGCAAGACATATCATCTACTCCAGTTCAAGTTGTTGAGCTACCGACCCAACACACATCGCAGCCTCCGTTTTTTGGTTCGACACTCAAGTCGGTTTGCCGGCAAGAGGAACTTGCTGCTCGCGCGCATGTTCCCACCCCTCTTTCCGTACGGTAGAGGCCATCCAAACGAGCAGCGGCGGATTCCAGTATCACTGGAAGCTTGCATCCGTCATAACAGCCAGCTGAGTACGCGACAATTCGCTGAAGACGAGCTGTTCACACTAGTGAGTTTTGACCATATCACTCTCCAGCGCATGCATCTGCATGTTGCGCTCAAATGCCAATGCGATCCTGCCCGGTTCGAGCGGTACAGTGCCATCTCCGAAGCCTCGTTGATAGAAGCGCTCCAAAAAAAGAGCTGCACTGCCAAGGTCAAGCGACAGCGATACACGACAACCGTCCGGTGACAGTGACTTATTGAAGACAGTTGAGATCAGCAGCGGTGTTGTTTGGGGGAGTGACGCCGAGCGGGCACAGTGTCGTCGCGCATTTGTCTACCAGGCCAGGTACGGGCAGCCCGCTCTCTTTGTGACGCATACGCCCAACGTTGCCGAGTCGTTTGTAATGGCGCACTACACGGGCATCTCGCCAGTCGATACACTCTTCGACTCCAATCTAGCTGAGCAGCCCAGACGGTCAGCACTCCACAGTGCAAGTCAACGCAACGATGTCGCATCCGCTCGGCTGTTCATGCACAATATGGATGCTTTCATAGAGCACGTGTTCGGCATGCCTCCTAAGCAAATGAAGACCAAAGCCTTTGACGGACGCTTTGGTGACGTCAAAGCCTACTTCCGCGTTGTGGAAACTCAGGGCGGCGGCACATTGCATGCTCATTTCTTCATCTGGCTCGCAAATGGTCCACCGAACACCGACGCATTTATCCAAGCCACAGCTGAACACTGCGATCAGTACTACTGCGACATCGCAGCTTACGCCGATAGCATTGTCAGCACGTCGTTGCCGCTTGACGTCGCAGTGAACTGTTATTGTTGCGGGCACTCGTTTGACGACTTGCAAGCGCTGCCGATTCCATCTGAGGCGTACGCGAACCCGAACGCATGTCGAGGCAGTGCGCGAGCAGAACCATTGCTCGTTCAGTGTCCTCAATGTGCCACCAAGATGAGCTCTCAGCACGTGCTTCGACGCGCTATTATCCAGCAACGAACATCGACACGACCTCCACCGTTGCCAAAAGGAAAATTTATCCGCGAGAGAAACCCAAGTGGCCATGTCATATGGAAATCTCAACTGTCCAGCCGTGTTGGTGCAGCGCAAGCGCACAGTCCTTCCTCCAGACATTATTTAGGACACAGGGACAGTGTCGACCACACGTACGGTGAGTACTTGCGTACGCTGAATGCTGTACCAAACCGTAGCGAACAGCGTGAAGACGACGCCTTCTGCGACGACAACGTAACGCAAGCTATCATGACGTTGCCGCCACCGGTCGAGGATGAGCGCTGGACGCCAAAAGCTACAGCGTTCGCGATGTCAATGCTCGTGTCCATGCTGAGCCTCCACTGGTGGTCGCATATCGGAAGCTGCTTCAAAACTAGCCGCGTTTCCGCTCCAGGACAATGTCGTTATCGTTTCCCACGCGCGCGAGTTGCCAACACATCATGCACTAGCGCTGGTGTCGTGCTGGCAGGGCGGCCACCGTTCGAATACATCAATGGCTACAATGCTATTATGATGCTGGCGTTCAAGTCCAATCATGATATCCAAGTCTTAATCGGCGGTTCGAAGGCGCTCCTGCGCATCTATTGTGCCACCAAGTATGTTACCAAAATGCAAAACGAGGTAGACTATGTCACGGCCGTAGCTTTAGTAGCTTTTAAGCGTCGAGAGATCCGAGAGCTGCAAAACCGGACATCACGGCCGGAACGCTCAGCGGCCGGACGTACTCGCATCCATGGCGTTTGCGCCGACCAATCGACGGGAAGTTGCAGGTCCCCTCGCAGAGCTGTATCTGCTGCGCGGCTCATGCGCATACATGAGCGCTTCCTGTACATCTCTCCCTCTCTCCGACGTTTTGCGCGAGTTGAATCAGCACGACACGCATTCGTGCAACCTCGTCGAGCTCCAAGAAGGCGAGTCCAATGTCACGTTTCGCGCCGCCTCCTTCCTCGACGACTTTATCTTTCGACCATTGTCGCTAGGCCGCACGAGCCTTTATGAATTCGTTATGGCGTGCTTTCGCTGCAAGCAATCGAAGTAGACGGCAACATCCGATATGTTTTTGATCGGCCATCCACTCTATAGTACGCATTGCAAAGGGCATCATCAACTCGAAGCGGTTCCAGTCATCACGGGTGCGCGCATGCCGTACGTGGACTCCAAAACACCTCTCGAGCTTGTTGTCAAACGTGCTCAGTGCGCATTGGTACTCTTCAAGCCACTTCGTACCATCCTGGATCTGGTCAGTGAACAGATGCATGGATTGACGCATACTTTCAGTGGGAATCTACGCGGACGAGTTTCATACGCGAAGTCATGGCGAACAGGGATGATTACTACCATGTATTAACGTTAGCGCAGGAGGACGGAAAATCCGGTAGTAATCGCATAGATTATGAAGCTGATAGTGACGAGCTGATTGGGACTCGCAACGATATTGATGGTGCCATTGCCAACATGCAATGCGACACCGACACTTTCGTAGACGGCGGAAGAATCGACGATTTTTGCCATGTTTTCGCTGAAGACGAAGCTGCTGACGGTGGAAGCCTGCCGGTTTTCCCGGCTACACGAATTGGTTCATTGCTGTCGAGTAATGTTCACCAAGACTTGCTGGTTCCGACAGCAGAAAGTGCAGCTCGCGCGACAATTGATCTCGGCAATGATGAGCGCGAACCGGGTTTGTCAGTGGCAGAGTTGCAGGAATGGATCAAGAATCCAATAAGCGACGAAGCTGAGCCTTCCTTGACCGGACTTTCATGCGGTGAACGGCGCGCCGACGTGAATGTGCTCATCCAGAGCGCGCTCAAGTCGGGCGGAAAGTGGGCTCCGCCAAACCAGCAGCATGGCTGCCCAACACCACCTCCACTGTGACCCCTAGCATTAACGACGTCTCCACAACATTCACGCTCAATCGACGTCAACATGTAGCTATCGCGACGATAGCAAGAGCACTGCTTCGGAGTTTCCAACAGCAAGAGCGTGTCAATATTCACAAGTCGGCTGACTATCACGCGCTCACGACTTCGCGTCGGGACTACGAGACGACCAGCTACTCATGTTCCTCGGTGGGGCCGGTGGCATTGGCAAGAGTCGTGTCGTCAATGCCGTCAGTGAATTTTGCTCCGGTTGGCACCGCACCAACTCCTTTGTCAAAGCAGCATTGACTGAAAATGCAGCCACGCTGATCGGTGGGCGAACGCTTGTAAGGTTTCTGGTACGGCTGGAGCACGCCATAAAAATGAAAAGTTCGCGCACCTTGATCTGCTGCTCATCGACGAAGTGTACATGATGAG